AGTGGATGAGCGTTAGCCACTTCATTCTTCCAACGGTCCCCGCGCTCCTCCGTTACGCGCAAAAGCCACGGTCCAGGACGTCTGCAGCCCCGGATTCCAGCGTGCTTTCACTGCACGCCCATTAGAATAAGCGGTTCTCAGCCCCGAGCGTTTGGAGGGTTAGAAAGCGGCCGAAAGGTTTCTTAAATGTGAATAATGGACAAAATAATAAAAGAATTGCCAGTATGTGAAATCTCGACTTCACCGCGGGGCCATGAACTTTCTAATCAGTTTGGAAATATTTACCGAGGCGGCAGCTTCCTCGGAGAGTCCCCCCTCCCTCCCCCAATTCTGTCTTCCACACCTGACTGGACTTTATCCAGGTCATTAACATGTAAACCCCACCAACTTCCCAAATGCATTAGGCTACCCTTGCCGATAGCTGATGACTTCACTTATCCTGAGGAGTTTCAGCTGCACAGGAAGCAGAACTAGAGGCTGATAAGGAAGAATACTTATGTGAGGTTTAAAGCAGAATAAACACTTTTCCTTAGCGAAAAGTAGGTTACACTTCAACATTTAGCAAAGGCGACTAGGGATTGGGAACCCCCGTCCTAGCCAATTACACCACGCGCAATTAAGCCAAAGATAAAATATATCAACTATGAGAGTACACACATCAGGAAAAGACAGGATGGCATGCCAGTACTATAGATGATAAAATGTTTAAACCAAATGAGCATTTTTTTCATATTGCAAGAGGAAGAAGGGGACATTCACAGGGGACATGCACACATTGAAGGTACAGGCATAGACAAAGGGCATCCTGAAATATCTAGCTAATTAAAGATAGTTCCTCACTTAAAACAATTCCTTTCAGCACTGTGTGTTTAACCCAATGACTAGTTGCATTTCCTGTTAGGTTCTGCAGCAGGCCTCCAGACAACTATTTTAATGCATCAGGACAGTACAGTTCAAAAAGCCTCCCGCTTCATTAAAGAGACTGTTTGATATAAACAGCTTATTTTGGAAGAGTGGGCTCAATATTTCAGCCCCGGTCCCAAGGCTTCACTTGAAAGGGGATGGATGGTTGCTTTTATAGGCAAGTACCACAGATCAGAACAATCTTCAAGCTTCTGCTTCCTCACCCTTGTGACTATTAACTCAGCTAGCATGAATTCCTCACTTTTATTCCTGCAAAGTGTGGCAAACTGCAAAAACCACCCGAAATACTATTTTTTGCAGATTAGTATCTATAATATACGTTGTTTCCTTCCTTGTTTTTCATATAGTGAGTTTGCTACTACTCATGAATTTATTTTTATAATGTGACAGAAAGCATCTATGTCAGGTTTTCATTCAAGGTAGAACTAAAAATGTTTAAAAAATTTAAAGGCACATAGACATTGTAAATACTAAGATATGTTGGCATACAGTGGTAAAAATGAAATTAATATTTTCAGGGTTCACGAAAGTCCTGAAAAAAGCACACTTTTAAGAGACCATATGGGCTTTTGCCATAATGCCTGAAATTGATGTAATGAATTGCAACTACCTGTTTTACATAGGCAAATAGACATAGCCAATACATGGATATAACCGTAATATTTTTGATTGAATATAGACGGTATTTCTATTTACCTTAGTACACTTTAGTTTTAAGTTTGTCTTCCTTCAAAAAGAAACTCTTTTACCTTTTCACATTTTAAAGAATTATTTAATAATAAACATTAGAACAAACCCATAATTATCTATGATAATGCCAGCATTCAAAAGTATATACAACCCCACACTGTGGATAATTTGAAAATAATTTGGATCTGGAATGTATCACAGTTGGCCTTTTAAAATATAAGGTTTTCCCCTCAGCAGATTTAGCTTCTTAATTATGTGTGACCTAAGTTAATATTAGCATTAGTTTCCTTCCCATGAGCCTTTGTAGTTGAAGCAGAACAGAAGAGGTTATACAGAATTATGAACTATACAATAGAAAGTCACCTGAGATTTAAAATTATTCATGAGTGATCCACAAAGTGGTTAATCCAGAGTGTGCTTTGTATTCTTTAAGAACCACTGGATTCCCTCCCTTCCCCCCCTCCCCCAATCATCCTGGTCCTTGGCAAGTAATGGTCCTTGGCTAGGATCAGAATATTTTCTCTTGTATAGAGAAGCACGTTGAGAGTGTTAGGAGACCCGGGTTTTCTATCTAGTTCACGAATTTGTACCTTCCTAATAACATGTCCATACTAGACCTCAGTTGCTTAAGTGTTAAAAGAGTTCTCTGGTTCTATTCCAGTTCTACCATTGGAAAATAGAAAATGCTTACACTCTTTAAACCAATTGGAAGCTAGGGATTTATCCAGTTAAACAAAAGGTGATAGTTCCTTTAAAAGAAAATGATGTCTGGGATCGACGTACTATTAACTCAGCTTTTTTTCCTCCCTTCTGAGTCACCAACTTACTTCATCAAATAATGATCAGAAATGCTTTATAATAAATGTGTAGATACATTAACTTGGTTTGCTCCCTAAAGAATTATGTTTAGCAGTATATTTAATTAGAGCACCACAGAAGTTACCGGGAACATGAGCCTTGAGGTTTTTTAACTCTGGGAGAGCTAACATTCCAGTTTGTGTTCAGAGTTACATACCACCTTACTCCACCCTCCTGTCTTCACTGCGCCCTATATTAAAGCAGCGGTCTACTAAGGCCCTGTGCACTGGGTCTGCCTGCTTTTAAGCCTGGCCCACGCTGGGTGTAGCTCTTGAAGTGAGCTTTAAAAAATTATTTTAAAGTGAGCTGGGGCGGTTGCCACAGCAACCCACCCTGAGATAAAGAAAGGCTATAGATTAATCTACCCCTCAAGATTATTCAACTGTATAGTATTTGTTCTTCAGCCTGAATAGTTTCAATGCAAACATGATAACTGAACACAGAAGTTCAGAAAAATCTAAAAAGTAGTAAGATAGAAATCCCTGGAGCATTGAACATATTTTAATATCTTTGTTGTTACAGTCATGCTATCCATGACTTGTAATGGATGAATTGCCAAGGTAGGCCTTAGAGGTGAGGCGAGCTTTAAGAAGATGGGTATGGCCTTGCTTATAATGTTAAGTACATAATGGTTCTTTAACTCTTTATCACCGTTATACATGTCTATGCTATAAATACCCACAGGCAGCTTTACCCTGGAAGTGACTTTGCAGTGATGGTAAAACCAACGTAGGCACTCACCACATGCACGTCTTCACTGAGGGTCATTTGCCTTCCATTCTTGACTTCATCTCTTCATAGAAGTTACTTCACAGTTTGCAACTCTTCTTCGGCACCTTAACATGTGTAAGTACAGAAAGGTTTAGAGTTTTTCTTTTTCCTTAATGGTTGACATGAAATTACATTCAAATAGGTGTCTAAAACATTTCAAGTAACTATTAATTTTGATTTTGAACTAAACCATGTATGAATTGAAATCATCATTCATTGTGATAACCCTGACCATCTTTCATGTAAATGGTTCCAAATATCTACAATCCACTAGGTACAGCTTTAGCTCAAGCAGAATAGACAACACACGTGATGGAGAATCTGTACTAGACAAAGGATTTGATATTTCACGATAAGGTTTACTCATATCCTGTATCTCATATCTAAAGGGCCTATATTTATCTTTATTTCTGTACTTTTAATTTTACATCTGATGAATTACAGGGAAGAAAGTCAATCCATCATTTCCCAAGCTAACAAAATTTGTCAAATTGGGAAATGTTTGCAATGCAGCTGAAGTTGCTGAAAGAGCTTATTTTATATATTGCTGAAGGCCAATTTAAACTACTCTGAGATTAGGGATGTGGGTTCTGTACCATTTATGAATTCTATTACCAGTAGCACCTTACCCTTCCAAGCAGTGTTTAACTGTACTGCACAGACACGATTGCTCCCTGTCCCGATCTCTGTTTCAGACTAACTTTCCATGACTTTGAGCGCACGTATAAACCTTTTCTTGGCTTCATGCTGGAGCTAGTCCGAGATGGAGAACTAAATTTAAGGCTTATCAGACCCTAACAGTCAATATCTATTTTCCCATTTGTCTTACCAGGACTTTTCATGGTGAAGAGTCATTTAGAGAGCCTCTATATTGGGGTTAACATCCTTAAGATTTATTTTCATTTTTAAGTTGCTTCAGAGTCAAAAAGGAAGAAATTTTGACCAGTTTTATTTTAGATGTATTGGCTGGATTTCATCTTGTAGCTCAGGTCCACGGTGAGTTAGTCTAAACTTGATCTGGCAGTCAGTACCAGGTTACCTGGTGAATCCCTTTCTCCCAGTCTGCTTGGTTTTACAGTCTGTTATTCCATGGGGGGATCAGAGCACACATCTGCCAGGGCCTTTTCACCTTCCAGAAATGCAATCTTTATGAAAACATGTCTGAAAGATATGTTAAGGCTTTTTAAAATGCCATTGCAAATTATGATACATTTCTTCCTTTCCTGTACCTCTATGCCCAAATAAGGCTTGATATGGAATTGGCTTGGAAGAGTATGGCTGATTCAGAAGTGTCCACATTAATGACTACATTTAATAGGGCTTTACCTTACTTAAAGAATTGTCAAATGCTCATCAAAACGTTGATTCTATTCCATTCCTTGAAATAGCACAGAAACCTTCAATTCAAGGAATGGATTTTCACACTTCCCTTTTTAACAGTTTCTTTTAGATGCCTTTCTGTCTGTGTACCCTTTCATTTTTAAAGGTCTTAACGTGGGGTCGGGGGTGGGGGTGGGGGTGGGGGTGGAAGCTGTGTGAAAAATCTCATTTAGGGTTTTGATTCCCACTTCTTTGGGGAGCCCAGGGCTGGAGTTCAGTCCGGACAGCCGCCTTCAAGACCCAGACGAGGGACGCCTATGGTTTCAGCAGCTCACTCGACTGGGTTATTGATTGCAGGCATCAACAATCCCTCCCGTTGATTTGCGTGGAAAGTGAATCCGCGCTGGCTTGGGCGCTCGGTAGAGCAGCCGCAACGCCGTCCGATTATTGCCGGTCCTCCTTCCAGCACGGCTCTCGCCGACTGCACACTACTCCTTTCTCCGCCGGACTCTACCCCCCACCCACTTTCCCCCCGCCGCAGAGCCGAGGGGGCGGGGGCTCCTTCCCTGGAGTGTTTCTAGAGCCCGGAGGCTGCTAGTAGGGGGTGAGTGCGCCACGTGCCTGCGCCAGCGGCGAGGAGGCGGGCTCGGGGCCCTCCTGGGGACCAGCTGCTGGGCCTGGGGGGCGCGGAGGGGGCCGCCGCGCTGTCGTGGCGCAGGGCAGGAGGGAGTGTGCCAGCTCGTGTTTAGTTAGAGGGGAGGATGTCACGGCTTGAGGGGAAGCGGCCGGGACTTGTAGGTAAAGAGGGCGCGTGGTGGGCTCTGGGGAGTGGAGGGGGGCGC